GCCGGCACCACTAAGTATGACTTTCGCCATCCGGCTTTCTAATGCATGTGAGTCTGAACATCGCAGTCGGAACCTTGCTTATTCAAATTGTGCAATTCTCATCAAAATATGTCAAGGTGTTAAAACTCATATTGGCAACTGATAATTAGGTATCTGGATACATCACATGTCTAAACACGATACATGTCTGGATATATCGCATGTCTGTTCATTGGTTGAACTGTTTCAGCCAATGATTGATTTCGTTATATTGTATTCGAAGTCGGAACCCTGCCTATTCAATTTGTGCAGTTCTCATCAAAAGTTCTCTAGGCGTTACACTCGTAATGACAACTGATAATTAAGTATATGGATATCGCTGTTGTATAAGCTGTAATTTGCAATTTTTGATCACATTAACAATTTAAGTGCATGGATTTACGCGTGAATGCGGAACATTGCCGCAAAATATATGTATGTGTATAATTAATTCAACTTAGATGTATGTCAATGTGTAGAGATCTGCTCAAAGATTCGTTCTGCATTTGTTCATAATTTCTAATTGATATTTTCACTTCGGAAAAGTTTGTTATTTTTAACCAAACTATTCAGACATACATCACATACCTGAATAGTCACATTTGTGAATACATCATATGTCCAAAAACGTCACATGTCATATGCGTATATTTAATACAATTTGAAACTTCGAATTTAGATCTATGCGGCTGTGTTGAGATCCGCTCAAAGCCTAGTTCAGTATTCGGTCATATTTACAAGTGTGCGCCACTTCGGAAAAGGTTGTTATTGTTAACTAAACTATTTTTTTTTCGCATGAAACATACTCAGGTTATTCTTTATTATGGATGAGATGAATCGATTTATGTTCTTATTTCGTTTGTGAATTGAACTAGTTAATAGATATTCTTTTATATGGGAAATGTCTCCGTGTAGTTTTCCATACACATGACATGACAAAACATTATTACATGCAAGTTTTATGGTTTTATAAATGTAGTATAATTGCATCTTTTTTTTCCACAGCGATTCTGATTATTGAAAACTACCACCAACTGCGTGAATCAACATCGGAATTGATGAAAGTGTGAAAAGTGAAAGTACAAAAAATCTAAATTTGGATTGATTTCTGTTGTATCATGACGCAGGCCGGTACAAACCTTCCTCGATCCCGTTCGTAATTACTCAACAGCCGTTTTTTATATATGGCAAATAATCATAACATTAGATAAATTATCGCAATTATTAACATTATTTATAAGCTAACATACCCCGCAATGTATCTTCTGTTTAGGTTCCAGTCTGTATTAGGACAGCCTTTTTTTCTCATCAACAGGCGACATGACCCAGGTTTAAGGTGCAGCAATTCGCCGAATGGTTGGCCACCATAATTAGGCTACATCTGTAATAATTCAGGCGTAATGGAACGGAATCGATTCTTAATCCCATTCATCCCCATATTCATGATGATTATTTTAATTTCCGATTTGCTTAACAACCCTTTTCCTCCGGCCGCTCAACAGGCGAACCATTCACTGACGTGTGGCAAAATAAAATAGTATGCGAATGAAAGTGATTCAGTGGAAACGGCAGTCATAGTCATACTTATATAGTTGTATGCGTAGTAGCATTCTTGTCTTTTAGTTGGTCATAATGATTGATTCATGCTGTCTGAAATTGACAAAGAATATTTCGCCTGATATATAATACTCACATAGTATATATCATATTTTTAATATACTAACGCAATCTCGGACATAACAGTTGCAGCATGTTTTCAATGAGAAAACATCGGGTAGCGTACTTCTGGGGCGTTCGATTTGATTAACCTCATTGGTTGAATAGTCATTTGTTTGCTGTAAAAGGTTACGTAAGTCATGTGCGATCAAACACCTATATTACCCCAGTGTAAGGATTGTCGGGCAGATTATTAATAATTATAATACCGTGCGCTACTTATTATTATAACGCCACATTCACTTTGGATTATCGGTATCCATCATCTATGTTATCTGGGCAGTGCCTGAGATCAATGCACTAACATACGAAAAAGATTGTGTATTGTGACTCCAATGCGTCCTCAATTTTGTAAAGATCATGAGAGCGACAGGCCCAACACAATTCACGCTATGGGATCCCTGTAATTTTCATCTGAAAAATAACCTATGAATGAGTTTTCGCTAGCTGTCTGCTAGTTCTACACGTAACTGAAATACTATCGACGCTGTTGATTTATTTGTTTTTGGTCTAGCTAAAACTACATGTAAAAGACACTAGCGTACTGACAATTTGGTTTATTATAATTAAAATAAAGTATCCCACACTGCCCAATTTTGCGTAATAACAGAGCTCGGACTGAGATGCTCGCAGTAGTAATGCGCCAGACTACGTCTGGAAATTTGCTGCACACAACATTGCCATGTTATCACGCATACCATTGCCATGTTACCACGCACACCAGTGTGTTGTTTATTCCTCAAATAACGAACAGTACGCTGCACATATTTTGTTAGTATTTTCTGTGAGTATTTTGTTTCTGTTGATATCTAGCAACCTCCGACATACACATCGCTTCAAAGCTTACGTCACTTCCACAGGTATCGACTTTCAAACATATATGTTTACTCTGTCTACACCGGCTATTATAATTATAAAATTAATTCATTTTTTGAAAAAACAGACATAATGTATATCAGCTTACAATTTGAATCGAGTAAAGTAGAGTGGAATTGTAATTATTTGAGCCATGAACACTGGTATTCCCTGAGAGACTTGATTGCCATTTCAGAATTACACTCAGTCTGATTCTTATATTTCCAAACTAAGTTAAAAAGAAAATATAATTACTACTTTTTCAGATCACATACCCAATGTCGGTAATGCCATATTTTCGGTCACCCGTACACGTCTATTTAGGTATAGCCATTGAATTCTGTATCAATAGAGATCATATTAAGGTTAATCATAAATACATTAAATTTCTATTTACGCACCTAATGTGTGGTTCGTATACTCGCTTTCACATTAACAGGTTTTTATAATTAAAAGTGAAAGAAAAATAGAATTTAATCCCTATTCAGCTCCCCCAATTTCAATGGGCGATGGTACGATATTGTAAGGCAGTACAGACAAGATCTATTAACCAAACCAATTTTATTAATTCCTACTGGAGAACGCAATGTGGTAATTTAAATTACATTATTTACGATCGTAAGTTTTACGAATAACTTAAAACAGAAACCAATGTAAGAGGATAGAGGTGTAAGTGACTACTACTACTGTGTTGGCGAAGAACATTCACAATTAAAAAAAAAATCTTATAATGCGAGCAGACTGAAGAGTAGCATCAAAAATAGATTTGCCGCTTTGTGTTAATGTTCAATACTGTACAATAATGTGATATATTCAGCGCTAGCTACTGGTCGGTGTCTGCAATTGATATGTCTGGAAGCAACTAAAGCGATGGAAAGGTGCCGGACCTTGATTAAAATGGTTGCAGGAATCTGTAGAGAGACCAGAGAATTAGAAATCATCCATCAAGCAATTAAAGACGAACGAATAGACATTCTTTATTCTCTGTATGATGCCCGATAGACGGTACGTAATCCCCAGACTTCACGAACAATCCACTGGGCATGCTGCAGTAAAACGTTATATGAATATGTAAGTGGAATAGACGTACTACAACGTTTTAAATCCAACACGCGAGACACGAAAAACAATAATTTATCATATACGGATATTGTTATAGAAGTTAACTGTAAATAAACACACCAACACGACAGGGAGACAGACATAACACTAAACAGACATACAAATTACATTATGGACAGACACAAAATAGGAAGTACAGAGAGAGAGAGAGAGAGAGAGGAAGATGGTCGAACCCGTACTCTGTCACCGTTCTATCTTCGTTACTGGAAACCAATCAGTACATTTGATAGGAAACTCACCAATCCGGAGAACCATTTCCATGAATGAAAGCACATGTCTTGTCACAAAACGTAACAACACATCAGAAGATTCAGAACAATCGGATAGTAGACAAACAAGACAGAAATACAACAGTATCGTCCTCAGAGAACACACAAACTAAACCATTCGCTCGATTTTCTCATCTATACACCAGACATTTCAAAGTAAATCTCAGAACTTTTGCCAAGTGCTCAGTGGAAGTCAGGTGGAGGTTTCTTATATTATTATAAAGTGCAAATGTGGCTGGCTGGCTGAGTGAATGGATTGGTTGGTTTAGTTAGGCAAGGTCTTTAAAGGTAATCTTCACTGTGATTGGTGTGAATTAATAAGCAATGTTTTCCCAGGCAGGTGGAATACTGTGAGTGAAGCAGCTTATTGTTTAGATAAGTGAGTAGCCGTAGTATTAAAAGTAACGTGAAAACCAAGCAAGTGTATAATGGTGACCATCAAATTAATTAACAGTGTATAGTGCAACGTTGCTTGACGAAAGCTGTGAGATATTTGAAATGACTGGTTACAATGTAAACGTCGTTCGGCTGCATGTTCAAGCACCTGCCGTTTGTCACAGGGCCATTCCATGCATTATACTCACTCCCTTAATTCTAAGCTTGTTTGTCGAGCTCTGAGTTAGTTGTTCGTCGCTTTCGTCCGGGACTAGTAGCTCCAAAATGGCTTAAATCAGCCTTACTAGTTGCGTATTTTCTGCCATATTCCAATTGCTTACAGGTAGCGAAACCTCCACAAGCACTAGTACCTCGACCACGCTTTGCTGCTTTCCTGAATGAGTGCAATAATGGGAGACACATATGTGCATATTATGGGAAAACATCGAACAAAGTACGTCAGATATCCAATTTTCTCTGCCAAATCAGCCCAAATCAACAAATAGTTTGAGTAAAGAAATGAACACTGACGTACTTTGGATAGTATGAGGCTTACATATATAAAACTACTCACTCTACCATGCAACTACACTATTTCTATGCTGTGTTCGATTCTCGACGCTTCCTGCCCGGGGTTCCAGACGCACTAGAGAACATTGCTGTTCTTCCTCCACCCATATTGGCTTTCCAGTGTTTCCTGCCAGCATCTAAGTTTCCACATGCAGCGAAGCCTTTGCAGCCTTCACCACGTTTGTCTGCATTCCTACAAATACATTGTGTCATCAGAGATCAAATTACACGCGCGTTGCCAGCGCGGGACGCATGTCGAACCAGCCGACTAGGCATGGTCATACGCGCGTTGCCAGAACACGATGATGTAGCGGCAGACCCAGCATTGGTCGATGTTGTCCGCAAATATACGTTAATGCCACCACAAGGTAAACAAACACGTGGTCGATCGAAACAATTCCGCACAATTCATCGTCGGATATTATAATATAATACATCTTTGTCCATGTATGGCCAATGCGTGACTTCGTCGTTCAGGTCATAAGGCTGCTCCGTCTAATCCATTGGGTTCGGAGCATGGGTAATGTCGCGGCCTTAAAACGCTAAAAGTAAACACGTATTATTTGATGTAAATGAATGGAAAATGAAACTATAAGTGTGGAGCGGAACAACGCACATGCGCCAGGTTTCTTTTCAAATTATAGTTTGCAAAACAGCTACAACAAAACTAAAACCACCTAAGCTAACAATAATTAATTCCCCATAGTGTCATATTAGATTGGAGTAATAATAATTCCTACACCAATATGGTTACGGGGAGTTTATCATTGTTCATAAATAAACGTGCATTCAACAACAACTACAAATGTGTTTTCATATGAAAATAAAGCGCAATTTGCAATATATACAAAAACAGCTTTCGTATTTGTAAACAAGAACACCTGTAATGTAAATTATGTTATAGTAGACAGAGAACCGGTACTACTAAGAAATAGACTGGATTTTTCGTTGCAAAAAATAAATAACGTTAGAAGCCCCTTACATTTCAGCTGATGCTTTTTGTGCTAAGACCTCTTCTCCGAGTTTCACGAGTTCAGTGAGTTCCGCGAGCTGAAGTGACCAGTAATTTGGTGGAACAACTTCTTCTCTGGAATTAAATAATACCAAGTCACGATACAGGAGAGTGTAATTGTTCACACTAAAAACTGTATTGTGTGTTTTATGCATAATAAACGGAGGCTAGATAGGCACTTCGTGTGACAAATAATATAACCACTCAAACAATAAACATGTAACAGGGAAAGTAGTTTTTGGAATGTTGCTATAGTTATGATAATGTTTTATATCTGTCTTTTACCTCCATTTTTAAATGTTCGCCGAGTAATTTTCCATGATTAATCGCTTTTGTATGAAATGGAACATGATATAGAGAGTAATAGGCTTGCTTAGTAATAATGTCAGATAGACACTGCAAACGTGCAGTGTGCAAACAATAGTCACTCGGAATATTTGCATTTGAACCTTGATTCGTGATAAAAAATCCAATAAGAAGACATAATTTAATTGACATGTATTCGATGCGTCCGTAACGTCCAATTTGCATAATTAGAAATGACCATATATGTGTATTTTATAAGCATTGTCTAATTAACATTATGTATTCCCATCAATACAAATGTTTTGATTGGCAGGACAGCCATAATTTATAACAAAAAGGGATTCTCGCTGCACCAACCCCGTCTTACATTCCAATGTAGTCTACTTTGAATATCTGCTTGCCGAATGGCGGATTTTATTGGATAACAAAACACATTTACCGGATTTGAAAAAAAAATGTATTATCCGATTCTGTGTTACGTTTTTTTTGTGATCGATTGGTCGTCAACTTTTATGTGTGAACATTCTTACACGCTGCGTTTATTGGATGCGGCAGTGATAACAAAATCCGGTAAACGTGCGCGTGTAGTAAATGTGTGTGGTGATGGAGACTATTAAAACGTGACGCGGATACGGTAATATACAATGTTGACTACAGTATCGTTTTTAAGTGAGAAAATTGATCTCTGATAGTTTCGGCTGTCGTGTGATATGGTATGCAGTAATTCAATCCCAGAGAATGCATGTACTGAAATCAACTAAAATGAACCGAAAATAGAACACTTACGATTCAGAATCATCATAGGCTATTGTGACGTCAACAAAACACGTGATATAGAGTATCACAAGAAAGGCAGATGAAGCAACTATCAACCTGTCCATGGTGTTGTTTGATTTCCTGAAATGGTGAATGATAAAGAAACGCAACATTACATTATTTGAAATTAACCACTTACATAGTTTCTGTGGAAGAACAGAAAAACGTGACCGTGGCTTAACTACGAGGTATAGGAATCGTATATAATTACTGGGGAATGATATTAGATATGTTGCTTAACTGCTCTATTAACCTAATAATTCTAATTTTACAGCCAAATGTTTATTCATTGCATTTGAAAACACTCCATCAATAAAATGGAATAATGGAATTAAGTACAATATAGAAAATGCTGTGTGTCTATTGAATGACGCTGGCCAATAGCGACTTCGTATGCGACTGCGACATTTCGTGTGCGGGAATTAACAACATTATCGACCACTTACTTAATTCAACAAGCTACGTAATGGAAAAAAAATAATTGTCAGACACGGTGATGTTGGGCAATTCAGGCAATTGTCTTAATATTTCCCGTAAGTAAACGGCCCCTAACATTGACAAATATAAAGTACATCATTTCCTGTTTCAGATAAAATCAATAATATAATACAAATAATATTCTGTTTGGAAACCAGAAGCGTTAAATAGGACGAGGTGAGGCAAAAAAACAAACATACATATCTATGGAATCAGGGTAAGTTTCCATTAAAGAAGCTAAATACGATTTGTTATACAATTTACGATTCGAATACACGAGATGGATAATGTGATTTAATTATTCTATGTGTTATAATGTTTGTCTAATTATAATGTACGAAAATACCGTTCTTTGAATTAGCATCCCCCAACGGGATGGTCTCAGCTAAACTAGAAACTGACATAATGGCCTCGCCATTGAGCTACCAATAAAATGTTTCTGAATCAATGTCAATGACGTAGACAATCCAATGTACGTCGCAACTACATGAATAAGAAATATATTGTATATTTCTATCGAGTTAAAAGTATTTTACATATCATGAGCGCGGTCATTTTTTTTCAATTGCATTTATGTGAATGTTGCAAATATGGCTGCACAATGCAATACTTTTAGTAAAAAACATAAACAAATTAATTAATATTAATTATTATTTCTAATTGTCTATCCCAGTGTCACACATAATCGTTATTTACGGAGAGTTGAGTTACACGCTAATATCTGTACACGATATCTACATAAAATCTACATCACCATAAACGTACGTAACATGTAATTATTGCAGCCTGTATAAGTTAGAAGTTATTTCAAACTTCGACACGTCATATATTTCACAAAGGTCGCTTCAGTTTTAATTATGCTAACAGAGTATAGAGTTACATTTATCTATGTCGTGGAAATTCCATCTATTCTTATTACAACTATTACTACAAGACTAAGAATAAAGACGTCGAATCTCAAACATATCTTTATAAATCGCATATTTGGTTATTAGACCCCACGATCTATTAAGGCCACGCAACTGTCATAAAGTGTGTACTCAGTCAACTGAGATACATGTTTTATTCTTATCGGACATTCTTGACATATTTGATAACTATTTCCGGATTACGTATCGGATTACGATACCAATCTGTGACGTCTTTCGTCATCACATGACACGTAATGATGGCGGGCTTAAAATCTTTATGAATAGATCCGTAGCGACAAGCATTGTCTTAAGAATGTCATCCTTTGGGAGCTTTGCTGCTTAGAAGAGAGGCATTAAAGGCGCAGAGCGCTACTTGATAAGACTACAGAAGATACGGGGAGTGTGATATGCCACTTAATTATTGAAATTGCAATTTAAATGTAAAACAGTTTTATCCACATAGGTAGTTGGCTTGATGGGGGCAAATTGTTATTCTTAATGCGTGGATGGGTGCAGACTTGAAGGAGAGCAGAACACACCAAAGTATTCACGACCAAACTTTCATTACAACTCAAGTTTTGCTCCATCTAATCTTATTAATCTGTTTTCGTTGACACGACTATACGTGTATTTGTATGTCTAATCTACCGTACTTTAAATCAAAGTATTTAATATCTGCTATCATTCACATATCTTGTTCACAATTATTAATTATTTATAAGTATCGATAATACAAAATTGCACGAGTAAGGTACATCTATCTAAATTTACTCCGTGGTTTTATCAAGTAGTATGTTACACCTCGAGATTTGCCGTGAGACATCCTCGAAGGTGCTGATCCATTTCCACAGTAGACACAATTCGTAGCAGTAGACAGAATTTCATTACAAGACATAATACGTATTCGGGATCATTTGTTGCATTTCACGCACACCTACTAACCGCAAACAACGTAGGCGATGAAATGAAACATGATGAAAAAATGGAAGTATATTGTCTGTCGGGAAAAACCAACAATCACATTTCCTGCTTAATTTGACTCTATAAATAACCGCTGTTCATCCGATAATTGCGGCTTCAGAGGGATCTACGAAGTGCATTACTCATTTAGACAAGGATCCGACTCACTTGGAATAATGGCTTTACTCAGTCATGCATGTATACTAACAGGTAGTCGAGCTGAAACGCAAACTATTTTGTAACATGGTTGTAGGGGACCCATCCAAATTGTTTGAGTGTTTGATTTAACATTCACTCTATAAAACACGTGGTCGCAATTAGAGGTCAATATTGATTATGTTATTTCACAAACACAATCAAAACTAACCTAAGTAACAAGGCACCGGTTCATGTTTTCCATATGACCAAATCATCATGAATATACAAATGAATTTGTTTTTCGTGTCATGCCATATGCAAAAGATTTTACATTTAATCTATCCATTGTGAACTAAAGAGGAGTTGAGACGAATTGAGGTACATGGAGAAGGTATTTCGTCATATCACAAAATTTTACTCGGTCACATGGAATGATAAAATCAAACCCAATTTTCCAAAAAAAAAATAGTTTGGAGCGATAATATGTCCTTATTGTTTTAATGTGAGGTCTTTTTCATAATTTTTTGTGCATATGCTCAGTAACATACTCAGTAGTTCAACATTTTAATTCGTCTCCAACTCCCCTAAAAGGCGTACTATATTGGTTACTACTTTTTTTTAAATTCGCGACTGTATATCTTCAAGTTTGTTAATTAAGACAATCGACGTGAAAAATGCGTACACACGTACAGTACATACGTTTCAGTTAAATCGAATTCGCAATTCCCCCGAATATAATATTGTATAAACAGTAAAATTGTCTGGCATTCTTTTTCCCATTGATCGAGGAACTGCAATTACTAATGGGTTCGCAGGTCATCCAAATTGTGTTGAAATTATGTGTGTGCCGGAATAATAGAATGTGCCAACTATTTTTGGTTCATAGTGATGTTTTGATGTCACTAAATTATTCCGCTTCCTCTAACGGGGGACAAACCTGTGTGCTGCCTTCTGCGCAGTACGTCTCTTTGTTTTGTTTTTTTGTCATCGAAAGTGAATTCACTGTGAAAGTGATTTACCTATCGAATATCCTCATCACGATTACTTCAAGGTACACAATAATTGACTTTTCAAGTGCCGTTACTTACAGAGTTGATTTTCCGAAGCGTTGATGCCATTAAAAGAAGACGATTCTGCCCAAGGTTAGTGGGAGTTTGTTTTCATTCTATTAACCGAAGTAAATTCAATCGATTCCACCCTAATGGATTAAAAACATACTTTAAAGGTTCCCAAATTATGATTTTAAGTTGATCAACCGCAAGTGTTTCCTGATATTGTTTTAACTACCCGGAATACCGATCTACGAACGACGTTATAGGTATCTTTCACACGAATACCGTTCCACTTGCTGAACAATACATTGTAATCAAATTTAAGTGCTGGTAAAGTACAATTAATGATATTTTGAGTGAACCTCACATTACGAATGTCATGTGGTAAATCGTATACATTAAATACGAAGCGCTAATAAAAAAAAACATTCAAAGATAGTTATTTTTAATCAACGCGTATGACAGCGCACAAAGTATGGAATCAGGTTTCGGTATAACATCGGCTTATCATGTGAGTAAAACAATGTTCTTATACTCACTTTGTGTATTTAGGTTGAAAACATAAAATACATGATTATTGAGGGGTCGGAGAGCATATTGGTTATTTACAGGTAATTATAACCAAGGTGCACAGATGGCAATAGCTATTACCTAAACGCAGAAAAAACGTACTTCCCAGAACAAAAAAACAAACAAAACATAAACGATACATTTTAACATCGTATAAATCATGTTAACAAATCAATAATCTAAAACGGAGCAAACTAATATCACTGTTATGCTCATAACAAATAATTCTTAAATCTCAATGTACTTTTCCAAGTAATTGAAATCTCATGTATACGAATGGATCGAAATTACACACACCCATTGAACTCAAAGTACGTTCATTGCAATATATATTCCACATACCTTAATTTCCAAAATAAATCTCGCTCCCCGTTCTCCTGTAAACTCCTGTAACAATTGTAAAAGATGTGACTAGAGGAGTTTCAATTTATACTCTGATTATAAGCCACCGCCTACACATTCACCGATCATTCGAGTGTTTCCGCGTTGGAGGCGGATACAATCATGACGTTGTTTAAAAACCAATTCGCCGAATGTGCATAACATCAAATGTATTTGAATATATTTTGCATTCGTTTTCACGTAAGGTGGCGCGTGTGACGATTTCCGTTCGCTGCACGTCATCTCAAGAGACGCAATCATTGGTCCAGAGGAATGGCATTCATTTTTCACACGTAATCCCAAGGAGGCCGAATAATAGTGTTACAGCCGACAATGCAAGCACAATTGAAGAGTCCCGTCGAGCCTAACACTCTTTTTTATCCATGCCCTGGGACTTACATTTTCATTCATATTCTATTAAATTTGCTCGTTTTTCTCGTTATATGATTTAGTTTTCAATGAGATAGGATTTCCCAAAAGACGAGTAACCATAAACAAAGTCCAAGCAATTAGGCATCGTGTCAAATGCATTCAATTTTTCAATACAATTAATGGACACTGCTCCACTCACGCAGGGTGAGTTTTGATTTCAACCTTTGGTCAAAGAACACCAGGATTTGAAGTTTAAGACATGAACTACGACACAAAGGTGTAGATAAGACCGCGCGATAACATGTACTTGATTTTGTGAGTTTTGTGGACGTTTAGCGGTGTTACTACTTTAACGAATCAAAGTATTAAACATTGAAGAGATATTTTCATATCTTGAAAACTTACAGATAGTGCTTTTGAAATACACCACAGATAATTAATATTTAACTTTTCTATATATTTTTTTTAAAATAAAAGCTTGATTTATAGTATTTCCCATATGAATAAATCGTGTTGACAATCCACGTTGCGAGATGCAAAAGATTTCTAAATCTGTTAATAGAAGTTTATTGACCTTTAGTTGATGTACGTCACAGTGTCAGCTATCTCTTGATGATCTGAGATTAGACAAAATTAATAATTATAATTCACTGTTGAATAGTTCCTGAATATGTTGCAATCTACACAGAAGAAATCGGTAAGAGAAATTTACCAAATCGAAAATGTAATCAAAATTGGAGTTACACCACTTTTCTCTTGCATAATTTTGTTCGTCTTTCATTAAATTTTTTGTATAAGATTTCGTCCGAGATAAAAATCCATTCTTAATGTACATACTTCATGAAGATCAATTATTTGTCTTGCACTTATAATTTATAATTCACAGTTTATATTTTTGTTGAAGAAACATGTAAAGTACCCTTTTCTTTTTTAGTATTGCGCGAGTCATCAGACGTGGATTACGTACACATATTATATATATTCTATAAATAACTCTCGTGACTTCAGAAACATCGAAAAAGCAATATAAATCGCGTTGTCGATAGAAGACAATAGTTTTGCCATCGATTTTGAACCCAATGGAGTGAAACTACTAAACTATGAATGGCGTCTCGAACTGAACTAGTTTGATGATTTTGTTTGCACAAATTTAATAAATCGACATAACAAATCTACTCTTTATATTTATTTTTTCATATTATATTTGCATGTCAAATTGTTGCCAGTGAAATGAAATATGTATTTATCAGTAATTCATATTGCAATAACTCAATAAATTGGGTTATGACAATAAATATGCTTACTTTGAATATATGTGTATGTTTTGCGACAATGTTCACATATCCAATACTAGTCCTGATACTTTTTGAAAAGGGAAGTCAACACAGTTCATTCAATTCGTGACGGTCGGTCGTGATTGTGTAAATAGTAAATCGTGACTCATTGACAATTAATATCCGATATGAACGGACATACGCTGAATTAACCAAACTGAACTGAAACATGTCAGCAATGTCAACAGCTCCCGTTATTCAAGTAGCATGTGGCAGAATCAATGTCACTGTCGAGTTAACTAGGTGTTAACAATTTTTACAACATTTTAGTAGCTCACTGACCGAACTAAATATGGAACGTGTGCCCACGAATTGGGTCATGCAGATTGAGTGAAATTAAATCATGTTTAGGGCATATTTCGTGAACTCTCTTTATCAACATTGCTGTTTGTCGAAATTGGTATTTCCACCATTTTCATTTCATTTTATTTCAATTCACTTACACTTATAGAAGTGCGGTGAATGCTTGCTGAGAACGCAAAAATTGTAATAATGGAATTGCGCTACCGGTTTATTGTTGTCGATAACATACATTGAATAGACAGTAAGATAATACTTGTAGAAGGTACATATAATTTGGATACGTGGATTGGTGAGTTTATAACGACAAAAACGCCATGCATACAGCACATAAGTAATTACATTGTTTGCAGTCCAGATCTGACGTGTAATCTTTACAAATGAATATCATTTCATACGCATTTAATAAATTTTAAAAACTGAATTAAGGTCATTATTTCAATAGGTTGAGTATTGGGATAATTGATGTAAATAATTATCCCAACTGTTATGTTAATAATGATGTAGCTATGAGATGTATAATGTTACTGTTTTAGTAATCGATACATACCCGAGATGAAATGCCATAAACAATGTATTCTGTCACACAATGGAGAATAAGAAAACAACAATCATAATATTAATAACAACATCGCAATTTGAAGTCGTGAATAAAAGTATGTAGTTGAATATGTAGAAACATTGTATAATGTCTAGCCACACCACTGACTGGTTCAGTGAAACGATTACATAAAAAGAATCTCGTCTAGTCGAGTACAGATGGATTTGTTCGTGGGACTACTCTGCGATTAACTAAACTTTTGATTCTATTCGCATCACGACTGACGGATATATCGTAAAATGATGCAGAAATACTCTGTACGTTGTGTGAATATTTGAAAGATATATTCAACAACTTTAGTGTTTTTTGAAATAGGGACTGCGTTTAATGATTTATAATCAATCGCTCAAAGCTGTCTGCCCATGGTGTCAAATTAACCCTTCCGCAGAGGCCGTGCAAATATAGGTCCATAAACTCAGGTATTGCACACGGTGGAAATCAACCAGACATTTACCTAATATCCGCGGTCATGTCATGAGCATTGCTGCAGATTTCTAGAAGGGTAAGTCACCAGAATGATTTACAACGTTACCCCTGCGACACATATAATCTGCTGGGGCGTCTATCGTATTAACGCCTTACTCACAATTGTGTTACCTCACTGCGCGACGTGATTGATTGAATTTATAACCTTTGGCACCGCCGTATTCATTTCAATAATACTACACTCCACACCCCTTCAAAATAGTATTATTACAGTGCGTTGATGCAGAGTACCATGGCAACAGTGAGCTTCCGCAATCACCACCGATCTTATGAACTTTGGGGATTAGGAATACAAAAAATTGATATAATTAAATGTCTGTCAATAATTAAAAATAGTTCGGCTGGTTTAACGTTCAATATACGTGTTTTTGCTTTTGAATCGATACAATCTTGACATAGTTACAAAGACGCTGTATTAGTGAAAAGAAAACACATTGAAATCACTTTCAAAAGCAGTTATTGAGCATATGCAAAAACAAATCTCCGCTTTGAAAAAAATGATCAACACGCATTTTAGCGTCATCCGAAGTCCAAAGAGGAAATTACATTAAAATAATTAATCTTGAATGAAGTGATTTCTTTACGTGTATAATGCAAATTGGCCGCGCTGTTAGTTTATGTGAACTGCAGTTCAGCGGAACAATGCATCTAACGTCATAGCAACAGTTAAAAGGATGCAGGCGAAATGATGTCATACCTTTTATTCAAGGGAATCGGAAGTGAAATAAACTAACAGCATATCGGAATATTCATTCAACATTCTAGTGTATATTTCTAAGGAATTTTAAACAGCAGTTCATTTGGATCACACCACTATTTATAGAACCAACATTTTTTATTACCTATATCCTTATTTGGATTGTCAGTCTTTAAGTCATCTGTAACTATACACTTTGCAAATGCATTTTTTATGTTAACGGACACAAACACGCAATTTAAGACTCCCTTATTATTGATATAAAAACGACATACTTAAAAAATGACGTCAGTAATACAGTGGTTGACACCGTGCGGAATACGGTATAACTATATTCAAGACATTGCGATGTTCGTAAATTCTTAGTGAATCAAAGGACGATACACCGAAAGAGCATTTGATTCGAAATTTCTCTTGAAAGAAAGATAGTTAAAATTTAAATGGAATGACATTTGTAAAACTAAAACCGACATTTTAGTAAACCCTTAGTTATAAACGTGTGCATGAAATAATCTGACTAATTAACAAAATTGTATTGATGAAAAAAAATCAATAGATCTCTAATGGTAGGTTTTTTATTTTACAAAACATGAATGAAACATTCTAAATTTAAAAGTAATTGTATACACGTAAAAAAAAACTACAAACGAAAGTAGAGTCAATAGGTTAGAGTTGATTTAGCATTCACAAAGCTATCTGGCTATCCAATTATACAGGCTTGTCACTCGATAGTTGCAGCGAACTAGAACTAACACGTCTTGGACATTGTCGAATCCCAACATAGTTTGCGGGGAAACAGAAAATGCACCACTATGAGATGTTTTTCGAATGAAAGCAGTTTCACGCCTATATTCCTAACCAATAAGCTACATCTTGCTTTAGTGTGATAAAGTTGTTCTCTTTTGATTTTACTTGTTATTATAAATAAATACATTATTCATTTTTGCCACTCGTTAGGAGAAATGTAGGCCTTACTCATTTGCCCTATACGCCATCTGGGAGCCATAGGTTTGATTGTTTTTTCATGCCAGTTACTTTGGGAATTATGCATATGTTACTTACAGCGTTGTCAATTTTATTGTGTAGTCCCAAATGTATTTTTTGGTCTACATAGGGCAACATGAATAAAAAAAATGCTACAGTTTGTCATATCGACTTATGAACGCGAATGTAGATAATATACTCCGCGTTTTCTGATTCAATAAAATAAATGACG